AATCCTGAATTTTTAAAGAGGCTTCCCTTAGAGGTATTAGCACAACGAGAAAAGGCAACCTGTTTTTATTACAATGAAGAAATATCCCTGAAAGATCAGCTAAGGAATTATTTATAAATAGAGGACAACTTCTAAATTCCACTAACTCTATTCCTTTTTCAAGCTCTTTCAGAAAAAGCCACCAGTCATAATAAAAGCTTCAAAATACTTGCTTGAACTTAGAATAAATTCATTAAATAATGTTGTTTTGGGAGGACCCCAAAGCAATGCTCAAATTCTACCAATACATTCTAGGGAAAGTACAAACACAGGCTTGGTAGAAACAGTAAAAGCATCAGAGCAATTCACTGTCAGCTAAAGGAAATACTTCATCCCAGAGAAATGACTCCTTTATAGTATTCCTTTAACACCTTGATTTATATTTTAAAAAGGGAGGAATTTTAAGCTGTTGAAGACCATGGAAACATTTCATTCATGCTCAAAATAAAATACTATCTTTAACATTGGCTCAGTCTGATATAAATCTCAATTGTGACCTTTTCCTCAAGACACACGAACCAACCAACTCAAACGTAAAAGCAGGTATGATTTAGCTGTTACTGATGAAGGCTAATATTATTTTCTTCAGACACAAAGACTGAGACTGATTTCATGTAGAATGCTATACTGTTTTTATTGCTAATCTCTCTCAACAACTTACATCAAGCTTCATAGCATTTAACAGGACATCTAAGACAATCTCTGTTCTTTGGTGTCCCCATAAAAAAAAATAAAAAATCACTGTAGGCCTTGGCTAGTTAGTTTCCACAACAATTGAAAAGTTATCACACTGAGCAACATCCCCTAAACCTGTGGGTGGTTTTAACTCAAGAACAAAAATAATCTTTTCATTTGACCTATGAGTGCCATCCTTTTCTTCCCCAACTCTGGGCTCGTGGTTTCTGCAAGACAACATATCTTGCCTTGTATGGCAAGCCAGTTACACAGTGCAGCTTGCTGTGCTTCAAACCAGGACTTCCAAGAAAGAGCTGACGTGGATGACACTCAAGAAGATCAGAGTGGAATGGCTCCAGCGGCCTGCAGCAGACAAGGCCTCTAAGGGGCCTAGAAGGGCCTCTAAGCCCTTCTCCAGCAAGTTTAGAGTCCTGCTCTTAGAGACCAGAAATCTTCTTAGGTTTGTGTAACCACTCTTCACCTCACATCAGCACTCTCATTTTCACTGATATCTTGTCCTATTTGAAAAGTCATGGCTGCCAAGCGCAGTCCCTGGTACCATCACTTGCATTTTAAAAAAAGAGAGAAAGGAAGAACCGGGGAACTACAGGCTGGTGAGCCTCAGCTCCATGCCTGAGAAGATTATGGAGCTGACCTTCCTGGCAGAGACATTAAGGTAATGCCAAATAATCAAAATTGCATTCACCGTCATTGCAAAATTTTGAGAAATGCACCCCTTTTGATTTGCTGTTTGCTTTGCAGAGTAATAAAAGGTGAGCTCTTGAACGGGAGGAGAATTGTACCAGTTGTTGCATAGGACTGCAGCTCAAGCCCAAGCACCTTCTGGAACACTTCTGAAGAAATGTTTATTATTACCAATTCCTTTTGCACTGCCTCACCCTACTCCCTCCCAAAGAGGCAGGGTATGGGTTTCATAAGTAAGTATTTTATCTATGAGAAAATGGAAGAGCCATTTGATTAGAAACATTAGATCATGAAAGTTAAGATATATTTTCAGTGGAACCAAATGCCTGACTTCCTCAACTTTTAATTTCAATAGTTCTCTCTCAAAAGCTTCTGTAAGATCAGCTCTCCAGTACAGTTCTTTTGGATGTGGTATGCTTTTATCTTCAGTCAAACCGAAAGGATAATTCAAATTGTTAATTTAAGAAGGTACGTAGGTCACTCCAAAAGTAATGCCTCCTATTCATTTCCATGGAAACTACAACAAATACACAGAGCAGAATAACAGTGTTTGAGAGAGCACATTCTCAGCTACGCAGCACTATTTTTCAACAGTCACCATCATTAGTTACTCATTTTCACCAGCAATGAACAAGAGCCCATATGTCACACTTGTAAAAATCCACACCAGCAAAGTGACCCTCTGTTTCACAGCTGTTTTTATGGCATTGTTGCTAGGAAAACATTGCCCATGCAGTCCATCTTTCATCAGCCCAGACAGATTGAACTCACGAAGGCACCAAATCCTGACAACATGGAAAGCATGGTAGTGCAGTTCAGCCAAGATTGGCAGAGTGCTCCACAGTCTTCAAAGCAGTATAGGGCCTGGCATTATCACGTTGCAAGAGAAAGGTCATCCTCTATTCTTGCCACATTCTGCAAGTTGAAGCTTTCAGCTTAGTCAGGGTCACAGTGTAGCAGTCAGAGTTGATGGTTTGTGTGGGTTTCAGGGAATTCAGAGGAATCACCCCTTTTCTATCCTAAACTGTACACATAACTTTACTCACTGAGGGCTGTGTCTTGAACTTCTTCAGCAGGGAACCCATGTAGCCACCCCACGTACTGCAGTTTTGACAGTGGCTTATAGTAGCAACACCACATTTAATCATTTCTTATGACATAATTCAGGCAACTATCATCTGCAACTTTCTATTAGTTCAAGAGGTCCTCACAGATACCATATGGTGTTCTTTCTCTTCCCATGTATTGCCACCATGGTTTCCAATGCTTTGAAGCCAAGATTCTGCTCCATCCATTGTTCCCTTGTCATAATCTATCAATTCACATGGATGAGCTGATCAAGATGCTCTTCATTTGGTGGTGTGACAGCTGTGTATGATATGTGGCTCATCTTTCACATCACTGCTGAAAAGCACAACCCACTGCCTCGCTGTGCTCACATCCATTGTTTAGTCTCCATAAGTGTTCAACAGGTGACAACTGATGTCAACAGCTGGAATTTTTTTCCACACAGAGGAATTCAATGACACATCTTTGCTACGTGTGCCCTTCCATGTCAGACACCATTCTGTCAGACTGCCCCTCTGCTGCCATCTGTCTCATGGCAACAGCATGTAATGGGTATCGGTGGCCCAAATGCCATATTTTGAGAATCTGCCTCTGACATTGTGGGACAACATAGTAAAATACAAGGCACTACTTTCAGAGCAGTCTTGGTAATATGTAAAATAGAAAGTTGATGTGACATTTTACTCTAGGCGAATGTGAACATTTTTGTCAGTACAAACGCAATCTAAAAGTTACTGTGTTGCTCCTCTCCTCCTCCTCTAATTCTTTATAAATCAGAAAATTAATTACCCAGAAAATAGTCTCCTGTAGTAGGAAGCTGAACAGGTTTAATGCATAGTTTATATATGGAAATTTAGATGTCAACACTGTGACAAATCATCACATAAATATTTTTGCAGCTAGAGTTTGCTGCATCCATCTTTCCCAAAGAATGAGCATAATGCAGATTATCTGGATGATAAACAGCTGTTTTGGTTTAAGGATCTGAAAGACATTTTTAATATTTTTTTCCAGCTACAAATCAATCGAGATGAACAAAGTTATTGTGCTGTATGAGAGAAGCGATCCTAATGCCATCTTTCTTAGAGGAGAGATATTCACGGTAAGAACACTAAGATGAAGAAAACAGAAACTAGACACAACTTGGTTTCCCAACTTCTACCTTGTCATCTCTCAGGGGACACTTCAAACTCACTACTTCTAAATAGACTGTTCTTAATGTTCCCCCCTCATTTCTAGGCTACCGTTGTTACCTACCCTGGAGTCATTTTACAAAGGCCCTAGCTTCAAGTGAGTCTTGAAAACTAATTTTGCTTTGAAATACATTTCTTTAGTCATAGTGTTTGAATTGCCAAGTATCTGACTGGATATACTCAGTACTTTGTAAGGTTCAGCTGCTCTAAACTTCTTAAGAAGTCTGACAACTGAATCCAATAATGTATCTGCATTGAGGTGCTCAAAGCAAAGCCTTCTGCTATGGCAAAGAGTTAACAGGAGCAACACTTTACATAGTGACTGCAGCTGTAATCAGCTACCCAGGATTATTAGTGATTTCGAATGTTCAGACTTAAATCGATTTAAAGATCGGATGAGATCTTTAGCATTTCACAGGGAGTGTCTGACACATCTCTGTGACACCTCCTTGCTGAGTGAGGAATGGCTGCAACCACATTTTCATGAGAAAATAGTTTTCTATCATGCATCCTCTAGATGAGGAAAGAGTAGGAAGCCACTTACACAAAAGAAACAAGGAAATATTTCTATTTATTCTAAACCAGTTGAACCCAAGATCAAACACTCGGTAATGACCAAGTGGAAATTTTTTTTTCTTTTATTCCCCATAATTTCACTTGCTTTCTCAGCCAACACATTCAGCACACATAACAGACTGAGGATGGAGCTCTGCAGCTTCACTAAATATCCCATGAAAACACATCTTCATGTTTTTTTTCCCACAATTTCTCTTTTTTGTCCTATTTTCTATCATCTATTCAAAACTGTATAGCTGGACATCTAAACTCACATGGTGTGGCTGTTCTTACATAACATCTTATTCATAGTCAACCTTTCCCAACCAGCTCCAATTCATGAACCTATCTTCTGATCCAGTCACATGTCACATGCCAAGTTAAGAAACCTCAACAGCACAGGTAAGCCTACCTTCCACTTGACTGAAGAGCAAGTAAAGGGATAGCAGGCAAAGAAAAAAGCCTCAGTAGTGGGAGACCTGGTAATCTCCAGTTACCACTGAAAAAATGGGAGCGGTGATTTCTGTCTGAAAGAGTCACTTTGAAACAATTCCCCTTGCTCCCACACTAAATTACTCCCTGGAGAAAGAATTAGCCTTGAGAGACAAAGAGCAGGAACTGTGTTTTTGCTGCCCAAGCCTGTTTTGCCTATGGGGACAGCTGGCAAGCTTCCTTGTAATCTGTTTCAGAAATGCTGTATCACAGCCAGTTGCATGCCCATCTCCCCAGCTCCAGAACAAGCATAGGAGGAGGTTACAAGCTTACTTTGTTTTCGCCTTGCTGTTTTTGTCAGCATAGCCTCCTCCATTCGTGCTTTCTCTTCCCTCTCCTTCCAGCGCCTCAGCTGCTCTTCTCTCATCTTGTAGAACAAGATTTGCTTTTGCTCTTCATTCAGCTCTGCCAGGAGCTCAGGGTCGATATACATATCACGCAAAATTTGCTGCAGCATGACTACTCCAAAAGCAAAGAGAGAAACTTGCTCCCAACTACCTTCAGTTCAACGAGGAGATCCCACCTACAGCACTCCAGAAAGCAACCTGCAGCAAAGGAATTCTCCCTCATCTGCCAGCCCAGCACAGGCTCGATTCTTCTTCCTCTGTCCCTCTTCTTGCAGGCATATTCTGCTCCTCTTCTCTTACACTGACAGAGTTCTCTGCTTATCTCATCCACCAAAGGTAGTGACAGTTGTCGAGTGAAATGAGGGGGGAGGAAAGGAGAATGATGATGAAATAAATGAAAAGACCAAAAGAAATAAGACCCTTCAGTGTTCCCGACTGCAAACAGGTAAAAATAAGGGATTCTTGACTGCACCCATCATTTTTGCTCCCTTGAGTAGAAGGAAATTCAATATAATGAAAGTCTGAGACTTTCGGCTGAAGCGATAATGCACTCCCAAGGGTGTTAGTGCTGCCCTGGGGGTTTAAAGTGATGTCATGGTTTAAGGTATCACCTACACCAACAATATCTATGTCACTTCGGGAACTGATCTCTTCTGATAAGAGAGGAGAAATGAGTTTGCATATTATTTCCCAGTGTAACCTGTTAACTGGTCTCAATAGGGTAGGTCACATCATCTCATATTTACCTGGTGCTGACAAATATGGTCATGCAAAGTGATTAAAATGTCTTTAAAATTAAAAGCAGATGTAATAAAAGCCGCAAGAATCTTGTTATCACTTTATAAATAGTAAATTAATATTAATTAAACAAGAGGTAGTTCTCAGCAGTTCATGTAGAACACGCACATCCTGCTGGCAATTCACTTTCTGCTTTGTGACTGCAGAAAGATACAATGCTGCTCTTCAAGCAAATTGTGACCTTATGCTATTCAACAGAGTTTTTACCACAGTCTGGAAAATAATGTTTCAGCAGCAGGGCCAAGAGCCACTAAATTAGACGAGAAAAGTAAATGCTGAATTCCACATCCAGCTTTCCCTGGGTACTCCTCCAAGGAGCAGCAGCACGCCATGAGGAGGGGAAACTGTCCAAGAAGAGAAAAGATGGGGCCATCCTGAGTTTTAACAAAATGAAGAACACACCTCAGGCTGTAGCATCCCATTTCATGATACTTGCACAACATCTCTCTTTTAGGGTCTACCACTAGAAGGTAGACTGTACAGGGAAGACCCACACTATTGCCAGAGGGATAGGAGTGCCACTCCCATGGCATTCAGAACATGGCAGTGGAACTGCCATGGAGCAGAACTGCAGAGCAGTCATCGCACTTTTCCACTCCTTGTCATTAACAATTTTCAGAAGCAAGATATCTAATTTGCAGTAGCACTAGATAGCAAGGGAAGAGGAACACAGATGATCCATCCACCATACACCTGTATCGTTTTTCAAATTAGATACTATCACTTATTGCTAATATGCTTAACCCCATCCCTCACCTGCAATGGTTCCTTACTGGCATGCACAACAAGTGACAAGAAGATGCCTGCTCACTTAATGAATTAGTATTGAGTTACTAATTATTTCTGGTGCTTGCCCTCAGTCAAACCAGAAATGAAGAGTTCTAAAGATTAAGATCTTCTCACAACGATGGTACAAAGACTCAGGGCAGAGACACCACAGAATGATGCATTCCTCCTGCACAGAGAAACAAACCAGGGAAATTCACATGCAGGTGCCTCCCTGGAGAGTTGCCTCTGGCCCCTGGCACCGATTCCTGAGCAGAGAGGACACAAAGTTGGAGTCTGTTTCCTCCTTCCCCTTCTCCTCAGAGTTCTTCCCTGTTTTCCTCGCTCCAGGAAATACATGGAAGTATTAGAAGTCAAGGACACAAACTCATCAGTCTCAACACAACTTACTAACCACCTGTATTCAGTCACTGACCTCTCTTCCCCTGTTAATGCAGGTAATTCCCAATTACAGGGGCAGCTGTTTATGCTGCAGAGTGGAGCATTACTTATCTTAGTGACATTCATATGCAGTCACACAAAGTTAAAACAAACACTCAAGAAATTCTGAGTTCACTTAGAAAAAAACTGTGTACCAGCTCCATTTGCCTTTAACAACATTGTCCTTTAACTGCAAGATACGTTACATTCTTCCTCACGAAGAAAATAACTTTATAGATGTCTTGAGCTCTTACATGGCTTTCATGGTCCTTGTATTCAAAAACTTACACTGTTACTGTGTTTACTCATGTTAAGCTCTTCTGAAGTAAACAAAGTATCACAATTTAAGCAGAAAATACTTCTGATTTAAATCAAATTTCAAGTAAAGAGACTGTATTGTGTGGAAGCACAAATCTAAAGATTCTCCTTGAACAACGCCTCCAGCTGTTTGCTCTGTACAGAGTCCAGTTCACTCTGCACTTCAGGTTCTCTCTTATGTGCAGGTTTAGTCTCGTAAAACAAAATGCTTCAATTTTATTTGGCTTTTGTTTGTTTGTACATTTTTGTTTTCCTTAAAGAAATAGAATTTGGCAAGAAAATACCTAGAGAAAGAAACACTTTGCTTCTATTTGTTCTATTTTTCTTGGTCAGGTATAGAAAGAGGAGAGCCTGAGGGATTTGGCCTTCCTTTCTCTGCTTTTATTCAATTATACTGAAACTGTGGCTTCACATTTTGGCACTAATTGAAAAAGACTCGCCTTTGTAAAGGCTTCAGGGCAAGCAGTTTTGCTGTTCTAACCATTTGTCATCTTTCCAATTTTATTTTACTTGACTTTGCAGAACAAAAATCAAATTGTGATCACAAGCTATCACAGTGCAAAGAACAAACTCTTCATCAAGGACTACGTACGCTTAAGCATGATAAGAAGCAAGAGCTGTTTCTGAACAGCATTCAGCTACAGAAGTAGCTCAGGATGGAGATTTCGAGATGCAAAACAGCATACAAACAAATTTTCTGCAGCTACTGGTAATGTTTAATGATCAATCACACAACAAAAACAGCAAAAACAAGGAGATGAAATAACTACTTCATGAATAACCCACTATCTGAAAATTACTAACTCAAAACATATGAGAACACTAACACACTAACCAAATAAGAGTATAATTAGTTTATTGTGTTCTTGTTTTTTTTTTTAATTTTTTTTTTTAAGTTCACATGTGCAAGTGATATAAGTACAGAAATTAAACCACTAAACTTCCTCTAGTTTAATCTGACTTCTATTGCCCTAGATAAGAGGGTGAAGACGATGCAAAGCTGCCTTGTTGCCTGCGTCTTGCTGATCATCCTGACACTCTTAGTAGAATGTCCTGTAGAGAACATTTTTAAGCAATAATCTTTCCAGAAATTCTCTTTCTCCATTGGAATCATTTTAGACATTAATGTTCTCCTCACATTAAGCCTTTAATGATCATTAAAAGTAGACTTTTTCACAGACTACTCAACAACAACATCTAAAAGAGATGCCTGACTCTATTCAAGTGATGCAAGGGCTGCTTCTCTCTTGACTACCTCAGTGAACCTGTTGGCAGTATGTGAGACGTTCATCTATGCAAACCTAAAATTGAATTTTTAACCTACTACATACCGGATCTTGTTATATAGTTTAACAGACCTTAAATAATCCAAATTGGTAAACTAAGTCTCAGTTGTCATTAAGAAATCACCATGTATTCTTATCATAGAATGGCCTGGGTTGAAAAGGACCACAATGATCATCTGGTTCCAACCCCCTGCTATGTGCAGGGTCGCCAACCAGCAGACCAGGCTGCCCAGAGCCACATCCAGCTTGGTTTTGAATGGGTAATGGTAATTGGGCAACCTGTTCCAGTGCCTCACCACCCTCTGGGTGAAAAACTTCGTCCTAATATCCAACCTAAACCTCCCCCGTCTCAGTTTAAAACCATTCCCCCTTGTCCTATCCCTATCCACCCTCGTAAACAGCCATTCCCCCTCCTGTTTATACGCTCCCTTTGAGTATTGGAAGGCCACAATGAGATCTCCCCAGAGGCTTCTCTCCTCCAAACTAAACAAGCCCAGTCCCCTCAACCTTTTCTTCTGATTTCTGAGAAAATGTAGAAACCTTACAAGGTCTGAAACTCAAAAGGCAACCTTGAGGAGACACCAAATCTGATATTAAAAACTTTTCCCTTTTCCAGGATTAGTTCACAGTTAGAAATAGCTTGACTCAGCAGATTCAGACAATTCAAAGGAAGAAGACAGCTATTCAGAGAAAACATGAAATTAAACTTCCTACTGACAAACAAAATTTTTCTTTCCGTCCTTTCTCAGACCTGATTACGATATAGATGAATTAATGACTGGCAAGAGCAGGGAGAACTGAAGAAAGAATGACTGACTGTGGGCATTCTTCATCACCCCAGCCTTTCTGAGAAGTTTATATGGACAATGATTTCTCCATTACCCTTTCACCTTGGTTACCCCTACCACAACACTCCAAACTAAGCTAAAATAATTACACAAGGATTACATCTCAAGAGCCTATGAACAAAATAGAAGATAACTATCAGTGCAGTTCCTTGCTGGCAGTTCTTACCCTACTATAACTTCCATATACCTTGATGCTCTAATTAGTACTAGCCCAGAAAGGAGCTCAGAGCTATTTAAAATTTAAGACTGGAGATTCCTTTAATCTTTAACAGCATCTTGTGGGACTAGACACATAGCTTCTGGTATAACATCTTTCTGGCTAAACAATGCTCAGCACCGTCACTAGAACTCACCTGCTGGGGAAGTAAGGAAGAAGAGGAAGCACAGAAAGATGTTTTAGCCCCATTTTGAAGAAAAAGGTAAAGTATTTAATTGGCCGGAGCTTTCTCATCTCTTCCTCCATTTTCTTCTAAGCACATGCATCCTCTATTCCCTGGGCTGAACAGCTCACTGGCAATGCTGATGAATGCTGAACCAGCAGAAGAGCATTTTCTTTCAGATTTTATAACACAGCTACCTAACCTACTTTAGCCATGTCATTTACATAAAAATATTCAGCTATAACCTACATACTACGAGGAGAGATGCAGGAGT